AGGCAAGGCTCCTCTAACGGTGAACGCCCACCGGGTGAGAATAGCCAAAAGACTCGCCTGCTTGCGCTATTCTCACCCTGGGTGAGAATAGAGGTGGCCTTTTGAGTTACATTTCTCTGAACGGGAGGACTTCCGTAACGAGCGACCACTACGAGACAGCAGAATTGAGGGCTTGGGGTAGGGGTAAGGGTAGGGTTAGGGGTAGGTCTAGGTCTAGACCTCTTCTTTATTGTGTTTGATGGGGTGGTCGCTCGTTACGAGAGTCCTTCCCTCTGAACCTTTAACTTTAACATTCTCGAGATTTGTTGGTTATTTCAAATTTTATTTAAAGTGGCCAGCGTGTGTGTGTGTGCATGTGTAGTGTGTGTGTGTGTGTGTATTGTCACATTGTGTACGAGGGGATTTTTTTTGTTGGTAGCGTCAAATGCCACCGAGGGAAGCGGTGTCAAGTCTGAAAACAACACTATCTTTAGCATTATATAATGTGTGTCCAATGGGTCAATTTGTTTTCAACAAATTTCATTGGACGAGCATCTAGTCTAGAGCTACGGTACCAACTTGGCGTGTTTTCAATGAGACGTATCTAGATCTTTGGTGTAGAACCAACACAGGCAACTTGGTGAGTCAATTTTTGTCAATTGCCTCCGCGTCACTTGGTGGCAATTGACACTACCTTTTTTGTTTACATGAAGGATTTTAGTTTTTGCTCTAGTTCTAGAGGGGGGACTAGATCTAAATACAAAATAAGTTACTAAACTGCCAAAGTGGAGCGGTCTTGTCAAGTTTTCTCGCAATACCTTTTGAAGGCATTTTCAAATGAATTCAAAGTATAGTCCGGAGACGTTACCTCAACCACTATTGAAGTATCTGAATATTCAGAACTAAAAATCTCTAGCTCTAGAAATAGAATTCGATGCAAAAAATGCTTTGTTTCAGTCCTCGCAGAAAGGCAGTCTAATTGAAAGATGACGCCGAGATCTCTCAAAATCTCGAGAACAGAAACTGTTCGGAGAAATAGAGGTCAAGTGTATTTTCCCGAGCGTTTGGAGAAATAGTCACAGGGGAGTGCTTCCATTATAACGAGTGACCACTATGAAACAGTAGAACAGAGGGTTAAGGTGTTAGAGTCAGGGTCTGGGAGTAAGAAAGGAATGGCTATTCAGCTATTTTGGTCGTCTACAAAGATGCTACGGCTATTTCACTTTTCGAACGGAGCCAAACTACGCCGGTCGCCATTTTGTTTTAACGAAGTGACTATTTCTCCGAACGTTCGGGAAAATAAAGTTGAACTCTATTTCTCTGAACGGTTCCCTATCTCGAGATTTTTTTTTTCGTTATTTCAAGCAAGATTTATTCGTCATCCTTTCATTTTGCCATTCTGCGAGGACTGGGAAGAAGCATTTTTGCATCAAATTCAATTTCTAGAGCTAGAGATTTTTAAATGTCTGAATATTTAGATACTTCAGTTGTGGGTGGGCAACGTTCCCGGACTATGCTTCGGAATTTGAAAATAAAAAGGTACAGTGAGAAAACAAGACCGCTCGACCTTGGCAGTAAACTATTTTGCATTTAGTCTCCCAGCAATTTAAACTAAAATCCTCCAGGTAAAAAAACAATTCCTT